CATCCCTGGCCTGGGAGAGCGGAGTCCCCGGAGCGCAGCGGGTGCCGACCGGCGCCCAGACGCGGGACATGTCGCGGTCAGCCGGCCGGGTCGCCACAGCTGCCCCGGGGGGCAGTTCGGGGTGCGGCCCCTCGCCCTGACGCGCCGCCTCTGCCCCGGGACGTGCTGCCCCGTCTGGGAAAGTGAAACGGTCTATTTCTTTTTTTTTTGGGGGGGGGGGACTCATCGGAACCGCGGGAGGCCGGCCAGGATGGACCGGGGTCATGGGTCCCGGCGCGGCCTGCAGTAACTCTCCGGCCACTGTGACCGACTGCGGAGAAGCAGGCTGGGAGCGCAGCTCACTTCAGACCTCCCTCTAACCCCCCCAGTTTCGTGGGAAGCGGACTTGGCGGCGCCCGGCGTGCGGCCGGACTCTCCCCCTGCGCGCCGCCATGGCGGACAGCGGCCTGGGGCGCATGGTGTCCCGGCCCGGGGAGGAGGCTGTCCTGGGCGCCGTGCTGCCGGCCTCCTCCCCGCACAACACCTCCCTGTCGGCCAGCCCGACCCCCGGGAGCGACTCCCGGGGCTGCGAGAACGGCGCCCTGATGGACAGCTTCGGCATCTTCCTGCAGGGCCTGCTGGGGGTGGTGGCGTTCAGCACGCTGATGTGTGAGTACGCGGCCCGCAGGTGTCTCTGACCCGCAGCCCTGCGCACAAGCCCGTCCCATGAAGCGATTCAGGGTCGAGTCAGCGACGGGGGTCTCGGCGGGGTCAGAGTGTTGCCCTGCCTCTGCCTGGGGACCCTGTCTGTCTCTCTCCCTCTCTGGACCACTCAAGTCAGCTTTCCCACACCTGGGGGCCAGGTGTGACAGGCCGGCAGGTATTGGCACCTGGAAATGGAGGAGAAAAGCCCCGCTTGGAGTAAAAGCAGTCCTGCTTGTGGTTCGAGCTGGGAAGGCCGGCCTGTCACATGTGCTGAGGGTCAGCGCGCTGGAATTCCACGCGTGGGGGGCGCGGGGGGGTCCGGTTCCTGTGCTGCAGGTGTGGATGAGCGCTGGCCGGCGGTGTCTCCAGGTGAGACCAGCAGGGGGCAGCGGCGTGGCGGTGCTGTCTTTCTCACCTGCTCTTCTCTTTCCCCGCAGTGAAGCGTTTCCGGGAGCCCAAGCACGAGAGGCGCCCCTGGAGGATCTGGTAAACCCCTCGCCTGCCCCAGACACCCTCTCCCGGGGGCGGGGGGCTTCCTGCTGGACAGGAGAGATGGTCCCCTGGTCCTCTCCCGTTTCTCTCTTTGTCTGGCACTCCCTCTCTCCCCTCTGCCTCTCATTTCATTCTCCCTCTCCCCTCTGCCTCCTGGTCGCCGTCTCTCTCTCTCCCTGCCCCTTCCTGCCCAGCTCCTGGGCCGGGCTGTGGAATTTCTCCAGCGCAGCGACTTGTGTGGGAATTTCTCTGCCTTTGGTCTGTATTTCCGGGGCTGTGCTGGGTGTGGAGGCGGGGCTGGTGATGCAGGGGGGGCGGGGCTTGGCTGGCATGGGGGGTGTGGCTAGAGAATGTGGGGGAGTTGTTGGCTGTTGTGGGGGCGGGGCTCGGCTGACCTGGGGG